TCCTCCTCCTCCTCCTCCTCCTCCTCCCCCCTCCTCCTCTCTTGCTCTCTCTCTTTTCCTTCCTCCCCCACCTGTTCCCCCGACGTGATTCCAGCCTTTTCCTCTCTTCCTTCTCTGGCCCCTCTTCTGTTTCTACTCCTCCCTGCTCCCTCCGCTTTCCCAATAAACTTTCTTTATACTAGGTCTGTCTTATGGTGTGATTGATTGTTCAGGGAGATGCCTCAGCCTGGGCCCGCTAAGATGCTCCTTCCTTCCACAATTCTACCGTTTTACAAAACATCCTAGATGTTGGTCACGAAGCCTATAGTGTGTGGCCCTTTAAGAGACACTTATTCAGACTCTCTCAGTATCTGAGGTGGATGTAAGAAAAGATTGTTACAGATGAAAAACTGAGAGGTTGCATAGGCATGGCAGGAATCAACGATATAATTCCAAACTACCACTGATTATCAGCAGAGCTGCCGAATCACCTCTTCTAGACCATTGCAAGGTCCCCTCCCAATCAGTTTGAAATACTGTAAGTGTTATTTGACAGTAACCAAGGATTACAATCTGTTTTCATGACTGACTGATACATAATTAGAACTAGTAATAAAATCTGTAATGGGTAGTGTACCAGCACTAGGAAGTGGAGGTAGAAAGAAACATAGTGAGATCTTGTCTTATAAAACAGAAGGAAATCATAAAAGACGATGTGCAAATACTATCATAGACGTAGTACAGAGAAATAGTAATAAATTACAAGGCCAAATAGGCAAAAGGTTGACATTAGTTGCTCCTTCAATATTTGTAGGGTTTAGTAACCAACGTTCGAAAGAACACACTCCTGTAAATACCCAATTAGACCAGCTTAAGCGCCTTCAGGTCAGCTCTGCATCACTGCGCTTGCGTGAGGCCTGGCCGCGCCCTCCCCGCCCCTCCATTCCACCCATTTCCGGGTCATCTTTGCCACAGGAAGTTTGAGCTCTTCGCTTCCCGTAGCTTCTTTTCCCGGCTTCCTCCGCGGCGTTCCCACGCCAACGCTCCGGCTCCGGGTGTTTTGCTGAGATCTAGGAGGCCCCACTCTTCACGTCAGCAAGTGACCGAGGCAATGGCAGCGCAGAAGATAAACGAGGGGCTGGAGCATCTCGCCAAGGCAGAGAAGTAGTACGTGGAGTTGTTGCCGGGCTGGTGACCCGCCCCCCTCAGCCGTGCGAGCGGGCTGATCGGGAGGGAGGGCCATGATCTTGTCCGCTCTCGGGGCGGTGCCTTCCCTTGTGGGTCAATCCCCTGCAGTCTGCCGTGCCAGCCTGCGCCGCTGCAGCAGACGCCCCTGTGACAGCCACGTCTGCCCGGCTCCGGGTCCTCAGGGTTTGCGGCTGCTCTGCTCGTTGTGGGCTCTGGGGTGGACACCTTGTCTCCTTCATGACAGCCAGAAGTGACTCTATGGAGGAAGTCTCGCGGTGGAGAGCCACTGCTAGGAAAGAGACCCTGGTGCCGTGCGGGGGTGTAGATTAATTCTGAAAAATTCTCACTCTCAGTCATCCTATTCATTGGAGAGCAAGGTCTAAGTTTCGTTAGCCCTGTGGATGTTCGCCACCATTTGGTTCTGGACGCAGGAGGCACACTGCGAATTCTCCTTAATCCTCTCCCCCTTTCGTGAATTACAACATACATATTTAACGATTATCGACTGTAAGACATTTCTTAGTACACTGGTAGATGAATCATAAACTAAGATCTTAAGAAATAGAAAGGCCTCAATTTACGAAAGAGGAACCGAGGCGGCCAGAAACTTACTGGAGACCTGTCCAAGGCTGCTCAGCTGAAAAGAGCAGAGCGAGTTTTAGGCAGTGGAAATTCACAAGCCCTTTCTGGTATACCAACCTTGCCTCCAGGCAGTGGCTAGGAAGATACCTGTCAATTCAGAGGGTGGTGGTCCCAAGAGTCCTTTTTGCTGGTGAAAGCAAACATAAAAGAACAGAACACGCGCTCTTAGCCATAATGAAGTTGCGTTTTGTGAACTAAAGGAGGAGTTTGACCACCGGAACTAAGGGAACAGTAGAAACCAGGATTGGCATCCTTTCATAATAGTTTTGACAAGTCCTCAGGGCAGCTGTGTGTAGAGTAGAGAACTAGGCTCCTAGGCGTTTGGGAAGAAGGCTGGCAAGAGAGGCCTTCTGTCACGACCGGGTCATCGATGAGTGAACTTACTTGTGGCTGTGGTGGAGTCTGAAGGGTGTGTGAAGTTGCTCTAAGTAGAAGAGCCAGCGGATGGCAGGAAATACGGGCCAGAAGTGTAGGAGAGGTAGTGGGATTCGTCTCTGTTTTCTGATGGTGGTATTTCACTCATTGTCGTTATTCTGGCTTAGGAAAGTTTTCTTACTGACTTTTTGGTTTTTCGAGACAGGGTTTCTCTGTGTAGTTCTGGCTGTCCTGGAACTCACTCTGTAGACCAGGCTGGCCTCGAACTCAGAAATCTGCCTGCCTCTGCCTCCCAAATGCTGGGATTAAAGGCCTGCGCCACCACGGCCCGGCTTTTCTTACTGACTCTTAAGACAAAACCAGTCAAGGTCCACAACAGATTGGCCATGAACCCGACATTAATAGGGCCTTCATTCTTGCTAATTAATGGTGCTCAGCTGCCTGGGGTTGATCTGCAGTTTTAAAAATCTTTCTAGCACATTGAATGTTATGTCTTGGTTTGGGGAGACTTCCATAACCACTTTAATATAGGGCGTAATGGGTGCTTTGGTGAAGGGGCAAAGAGTTAGAACTTTATTTTGTTGCATATTTTCTCAATTTTGTGTATTATACATTATATGTAATTGAAAACTCTGCTTACACATTTAAACCTTGTTATATACGTATGTATGTATGTTAAATGCTAACTATACAATACATCTTACAGGGATAAGTAACTTTGGAGTTAGACTCTGGGTAGTTGATGCATGTGTCACAGAATGAAAGGTGCACTTCTAAGGGCCCCACTTCTCAGCTGAGTAGCCCCTGATTCATATGAAGTTAGCAGAGTTGTATGTAAGCAGGCTTTCAGTAATTGAGTTGAAATTTATAACATGGTGTTCAACGATTTTTATGCACAGCCAAATGTAATGCCTACTGAATTAGCTTGAACTGTGAGTTTGATTTTTTTTTTAAAAAAAAAAAAGCAAAATATTTGAGAAAGGGCAAGAAAGATAAACAACATTGGGTATCTTTGCTCTGGCTTCTAAGCCAGTACTCTCCTGGAAGACTATATCTCTTTGGTGTCCTAATACATTACTTCTCTTTCTCCCTCCTGTTTAGTGGTGGTTGACTTTACTCCCTTTATTTTTCCTCTGAGTGCTGTTCCCATAGTCCTTGTGGTCTCCTCAGGGGATGCTACCTGTGACCTTGCCATGACAGATACTCATGGCTCTTTAGTTAATACTCTCCCTGGTACCTTCTCAGCTGCAAAGTATGGTGTACTTCTAGGTTCTCAAGCTTGTTAAAGCACACTTTATCAGGCTTGTTAAAACTCAGAGTTTCTGGTTCTGTAGATCTAGGGTGGGGTCATTGTACATTTCTAGCACATTTTTAGGTAGCGTTGATGCTTCTGGTCTGGGGACCATGCATGCTGTGGATGGTATGTAGACATTTCAGAAGAAGGAGCATTCATGAGGGGGCGGGGATGAAGGAAGAAGAGACAGTGCACTTACTGTGAATGTGTCCAAAGAGAGTTGAGAAGGTGAGAGACCTGTAGCTGATGCTATTTTTTTTTTTAAATAAGAAATGTCTTTCTTTCCCATTCTAGCCTGAAAACTGGTTTTTTGAAGTGGAAGCCGGATTATGACAGTGCTGCTTCTGAATATGGAAAAGCAGGTATTTGTGACTGCTGCTGCTGTGTGTGTGTGTTGTTCACTGAATCTGGTAACCTTGTTTAGCATAGTAATCCCAACGCTTCCTTATAGACCTCACTAGTTATAACAGAGAAGCAGAGCAGAACAACTGCACAGGCTTTGCATGTTCCCACACTTACCCTTACCCTTTCAGATATGGCCAGTGTTGAGTCAGGTCCTGGTCCATTCTCTTAACAGCAGACATGGGGTAGTGTCAGCTGTCTAACGGTTAGCACATTCATAGGTATTATTTCTGTCTTAGACTTTCTGCTGTTGAATAAACAGTTTTCTTTAATTTCTAAAACTAGTCTCCTTGAAGGAGATCTACAAATACTTGTTTTGTCCCCACATTAACATTTATGGGCTTCCTTTGGAGACACACTATTAAATGTTCACAAAGGGTTTTAAGCTGTATGCACATCTTAGTAAATTCACCTTCTATAAGTATAAAATATCTGAAAATATGCAACATAAGGAATTTGTTAAAAGTTTAGTGTTTTGTTAAGGAATGATATGATAGCTCTGAATATCTGCTGTAATTTGGGGTATAAAGTAATAAAACATAATTTTGAGGCTGGCGAGATGGCTTAACGTGAAGGAGCCTGCTGCCAAGTCTTACGACCTGAGTTTGATGCCCTGGATCCACACGGTAGACTGAGGGAGCTGACTTCTGCAACTTGTCTCTGACTTCCCTGCGCATGCACAATAAAAGTTTTACACCCCCACAGATTTGAAGTTCCTCCAGCAGATTTTCATCCGTGACTGTGTTCACAGGCCTGGCTTAGAGATCACCTAGAGCAAGCATTTTTCAACAAATTTTAGTTTCAGTTTGTCGCCAAAGAAAATAACCTAGAAGCTGCCATTGTACACACAGAGGGGTTGTTTCTTATTCAAAAGGAAAACAAGAGTCTTTAGCCCTGCATTTAGATATTGGGTAAACTCGTTGCATGCATTATGCAAATTGCTTGTATTTTGTATTTAACGATAAAGATAATTTTTCTTAAAATTAAGCTTTATATGGATTTTGGGTTATACTTTACACACGGTCACTTAAAACCAAAGACATATTTCTCAAGCGAAGGAAATTTAACAGCTTTGCTTTATGCCTCTAGGACCATGAGCTGCTTCCAGAAATAAATATTCTGAATCGAGTTTTCTATTAAAGTGCCCGTTGTTTATTTTTTTTAAGAGTGCACGCAGAATATAGCCATGTGATAGAACTTATTAAAAACAACTAGACAGGCAGGAACAGAAACAATTGTAGTATTTTGTTTGTTTTCAACACTTCATTAAAGAGTTCTTTGAGAGTGGTTGTAAGAAGTAATAGTTGAGAACACTTTCTCTAGAAGGGAGACTGAGGCAGGAACATCTGTTCAAGTCAGAGGTCAGTCTTTACTGTGTAGTTGAGTTCCCAGGCAGTGGAGACTGCGTGTATGGTGGAGACGCTGACTCAGAATGCCGAAACAGAAGAGTCAATCTTCTTAAATCAGTATGCATTCTACTTTCTCATTATCCACCTTCGGTGGATTTTCCAAATGTTACTGTTGTCTCTCAGGGCCATCCTGGTGGTTTCACCCCTGTGAGCCCTCCTTGTAAAACAGCCTGCAGTGTAGGCTAGCTCTTTGAGCAGTGTAGATAACTAAATAGAAAAGCTTTGTGTTCAAAAATGACTTGGTGCTTTGAGATTGCCCAGAGGGAAGATTCATTACAAGGCTAGTGTGTTGGCTGGGCTTCTGGGTGTCAGTAATGCAGTGAGCTGGACGGGAAGAAGCTAGGGAATGAGGGGCTTTCTTAAGTGACTAGAGACCCCAGCTATTTAGGAGTAGGTGCTAGAAGGAGCTCTTGGTGTTCAGTGGAAGCTGTACCAATATGTTGCTAAAAATCAATTAAAACTTTCACAGGCTTTTAAAAATGTACTTAGAAAGATTGTAATTTGCTTTAGTTAAAAGTAATATTTCACAACATTGTGAAACTCCCTATCTGAAATCAGTGTATTTTGTAACGTCTCACACAAAATACTGATTTTGGTACTGATTCATTTTAGGGCTGTTAATGATGGAAATAGAAAGTCTATGGTTTTTTTTCTTTTTCTATTTCAGCTGTTGCTTTTAAAAATGCCAAACAATTTGAGCAAGCCAAAGATGCCTGCCTACGGGAAGCTGTTGCCCATGAAAATAACAGGGCGTATCTTTTTTAGCTTTAAAAAGAAATGGAACATGAAAATACTTTTTTCCTGTTGTAAATTTAGTGTTTGAAGGAAAGTGCTTTTCAGTTGGGAAAGGATGAACAGTGCATGTGCTTTAAAGCCAAGGGGATAGTCGGTGAGTGCCCCTGAGCACATTCGCCATGAATGGCCTTGCTTGCCTGCTTGCTTCTGGGTTGACAGGGATTTGATTGAGAAGAAGCGAGAGAGCTCTCCAGACCTGTGCTGAAAAAGAGAAAGTATAGCTAGCTATTGGAAATGCATAAACTGCTTTGGAAAACAAATTAGTCTTGCTTAGGTATTTGAAGATTTATAAGCATTCTAGAAAGAAATGTTTTTGGTGTATCTTAAAGGCTTTCATTTATAAATGTCTCATTTTATCTCACATGTAAGTCATAGTGTTATAGTCTTGTACTTCATCCTGTTGCTGAGAGCACTTTAAAGTGCTGCATAGGGTTGTTCAGCGTCTCAGCTATAGGAGCACTGGGGTATCATGGGTCTACCCTTTTGAAAGCAGAAGAGCCAGTGACGGAGTATTGAGAAAGTGATCTCCAGAGACGTTGACTTCTTGTTTTCCTTAATGCTGACATCGTCATGTATGCTCAGTCTTTTTCATGCTGCCAAGTAAGTAATAGTTTACCCTTCTCATGTGTTTGCAGATGTCTTGAAAGTTGGGGTTTTACACTAGGCTGATAATTTTATTCAAGCTATGCATTTTTAAATACTCATTCTAAATATAAATTATTAAATTTATAAATTTAATTAAAATAATTATTTTTATTTGCTTTAGTCATAAACAGAACTTTAAAGGCCACATGTCTCCTAATTATAAAAAAGAGTTTTAAATTAAATTCTGCATAGTATTTTGCTTATGAAAACACAGGTGACTTGGAAGTCGCTTTTTTTCCTGTACTGATAGCTGTTAAGAGCCTGTGGAAGAGAAGGGAGCTTTCTCCTTTTATGGAGTATTAATTTGTCTTAAAACTTAGATTTCTGTTTCTTTCTAACCTTTCTGAGACCGACTTTATTTTGCTAAGTAAAATCAATTCAATGTTTGGTGCTCCTAAGGTATCATTGCTTAAACAGTAAATAAATAAAATAAAAAGTGTGAAACTACAGTGCGGCAGAGTGGGCCTGGAGTGACACAGTGTACTTGATGTCCCTTCTGTTGGTTACTTCCCTGCCTGCCATCTTCACCAGAAGGTTTCTCCCTCTTCCTTCACTAAGGTCTCATCAGAGAAATTGTATTCTCTTTGCAGAGCTTATGAGCAAGCTGGCATGATGTTGAAGGTTAGTAATACTGTATCAGAACAGCTGCGGAGGTAAAGTGAATAAGCAGGCTGTCAAGGTAGAGTTCATGCTGCAGTGGACAGGTTTCTTCACTGAAGAAGAGGGGCGAGGGTTGTGGGCATGGATGTGAAGGCTAGGTTGAGGCCTCCTGCCCAGGGTACTACTAATTGGACCACAGTGAGCATCCCGTGGCAGTTAGGAGGGAGTATTGAAAGCTCCATGGGAGAGGGAACTGTATTGTAAGGGGCTGGGGAGAGCAAGGCTCTGGGCACTGCAGCCATCACAGAGGCTGCTGCTGAAGAGAGCTGCGTAAGAACTTGAGGGCGTCTGGTTGTGGTAAAAATTTATAATAATATGTTTGTTTAAGTTACTTGTTGGTTATGGAAAGGAAAATTTGCTTTATTAATTTTTTAGTTTTATAAATATCAGGCTGGAGTCAGTAGAGTTACAAATGAGCTAGTGCTGCTTTACCATATTCCTTTTCAATGGAATAATAGAATATTTTGACTGATGTGCCACATTTATGCTTCTTAATAGCAGGTTAGGGGTTACCATCTTGTAATGAGATGTGTGTGTGTGTGTGTGTGTGTGTGTGTGTACACGTGTGCACATGCATATGGCTGCTGTGTTAAGCTGACCAGAAGGGCCGTTTACCTTGATTTTTGAGACAAAGTCTCTGATGACAAAATCTGCTTGCTGATTAGGCTAGACTGGCTCACCAAGAGTTACTGGTCTGCACCTATCTCTAGCCCCCACAGCCAAGATTGCAAACACACATGTGCTGGGCTTTTAGTTGTTGAGTTTTAGGTCTAGATCTCAGATGGCACCTACTCTGTCCTGTTCTTTCCCCTCCCCACTGCCATATTAAAGGTGTGCTGTCTCGGTTAGTAAGTCGGTAGGTGAGTTACAGAAAGATTTGTTAGCTTTATCCTGTCTGTTTTCTCAAATACCTTTCAGTGTATACTGTTCTAAGCCCTTGGGTTCTTTAATTGATTTTTTTGTTTTGTTTTGTTTTATTTCATTTTGTTATTTTTTTAATTCTTTCCTGCTAAGGTTCAGGAGTATTTCACCCTATGTGACTAAAGATAGCAACTTTATGTAGTATCTTTCAGTCTATGCCTCATCTCTGCAGCTAACATTTGTTTTTAAATGTTGTTTTGGCGTGGGTAGGAGTGAGGCTGGCAGTTTACTAGAAACAAGCTAACACATTCTCAGCTTGGTAGGGTACTGACTTTTGGATCTGAGAGTAGGCCCTGAGAGGCAACTGTGGGCCTTATGTAGAAATACAAGAAGTTACCTGTAGGTGAGAGTCCCTGTACCTTTGCAGCTAGCTCGCCAATGGTTTCCCTTTTCAGGTCTATCTATGATTAAAATTGCTTTAGTTTTTGATTTGGAAAGTCTAGGACCCCAAGATCTTGAGACTCACATAGTACTAGTGAGACACAGAGTGGATTCTGTCACTTGTAATCAGCCCAGAAGAGATCTTCAAGCTCCTATTAAGTCAGAGTGAGTGAAACAGACCTGACATACAAGGCAGTGGAGAGATGCTACCTTTAGGAGGTGACACGTCCTCTCCAGAGACAGCTCGGCCTTGGCCCTAGCCTCTTACTGTAACCTGGGTCTGAAGCCTGCTGTACCTGTAGCTTATGGTAATTCTTTTTAAGGAAGGCATGAAACAGAGCTTTTGTAAAAGCATGTGATTTAGAAACTTTGTGGTGGTGTTGTTAAATTAGCCTCAGACTTATGGTATAACTGTGAAGTCATTTCAGTATGTTTGTTGCCGTTTAATGTTTCTGACAATATTATAAAAGTGAGATAAGCTGGTCATGGCTCATGCCTAAAAACTCCAGTACGTGGGAGGCTAAGACAGGAGGATTGCTCTGAATGTCAGGCTAGTTTTGTCTAGTAAGTTCCAAATGGTTTTGAACTAATGTAAGACCCTGTCTCAAAAAAAAAAAAATGTGTAGGTAAAATCATTGACTTTTCAATTGCTTAAGTTGAGACATTTTCTGGCCTGTGCTGCATGCGTTTCCTGTAGGAGATGCAGAAGCTGCCTGAGGCCGTGCAGCTGATGGAGAAAGCCAGCGTGATGTACCTAGAGAACGGCACCCCTGATACCGCAGCTATGGCCTTGGAGCGAGCTGGAAAGTGAGTGCATGTGGGCAGTTAGTGGGTGCACTGGCTTTGCACGGGCCTCCTCTTTGTCTTGGTAAAGTCCTTGAGAAGCAAGTTTCTTAATTCTCACACAGCTGTGTTCTCTGTCTAACTCAGGCTCATAGAAAACGTAGATCCAGAGAAGGCTGTACAGCTGTATCAGCAGACTGCGAGTGTGTTTGAAGTAAGTTAGAATTTCCCTTGTTTCTTTAATTACTCAGAATATTTTTACCCATAATATATGGGAACAGAAGAATGTAGTGGATGCTTTTTAAGGTTTTCTATCTCCACAGCCCAATTCTGTTCCTTTTCACAGGAGTCGCCTAAGCCCACTGAAAAACACACATATTTATGTTACACTTCATTCATAACAGTAACAAAATTACAATTAAGAAATACCAATGAAAATAATTTTGTGGTTGGGGGGTCACCTCAACATGAGGGACTGTATTAAAGGGTCACAGCATTAGGAAGGTTGAGAACCGCTGCTCTAGAGGTTAACAAATGGACTAGAAGCTGTGGTGCTACCATCTATGGCCGTTGTTTTGTGCAGTTGTTATTGAATGTAAGAGTTCCACATTAACTGTACTGACACTCCATTTTCCTCGGTTCCTCCAGAATGAGGAGCGCCTCCGACAGGCAGTTGAACTCCTAGGAAAGGCCTCCAGACTGCTGGTACGAGGACGGAGGTATGGCTTGGGAACTGGAGGCCTGTGGATCCATGTGTGTTTGAGTCTACATTTGAAACTTGTAAATAACCTTGGATATAGCTTATTTGTCTACTCTTAGACAACCAGTGGAAAAAAATGATCATCCTCTAAGGAGTAGGCCCATGAAATTAAAACTTGCTTTTCTATCATGAAAGAACAGTGAGTCATCTTGACCTGTCATTGCATGATAATTATGGTTTTCTCTTAGAATAAGTGGTAAAAGCATCCTAAATACCTGTAAACAACAGCTTTTGATACTTGAGTTTTATCATTAAATGGGATTTTTATTATATATATGTATTTAAATGTATATATTTGTATTTAAGTGTTTATACAATGTATTTTGATCATTTTCCTCTCTTCCAACTACTCCCAGAACCTGTCTAATTCTTTAACTACCCATCTTTATATTTTTCTCTTATTTTTCCTTTCATACAAAACCAAACTAATACAGAAACAAAGCCAAAAAACAACAAGACAAAAAAAGCCAGAACAAAACAAAACTACTCCTGAGCCTGAGGCCTGCCCTGATGAATAGTTGATAGACCCAGTGATGCACCATGGGAGAAAACTAATTTTCTCTTTGCCAGTGGGTGTCTGTTGCAGATAGCTTCTTGGCAAATATCCACTGACCCCTCTCAGTCTGGGACACTGTCTGGCTTGAACCTGTGTCCGTGTGATGTATTCTGCTACAGTCTCTGTGAGCTTGTTCTCTTGTGTCTGAAGACAGTTTCCTTGGAGTCTTCTATATGCCGCCATCCAGTGTAACCAAGACCCTTTGTTGAAGATGCTGTCTTTTCCAGTGTGTAGTTTTGATTTCTATGGATCAATATCCATAGGTGTATGGACTTATGTCTGGGTCTTTTATTTGATTTTATTAATCATCATGTCTGTTTTTATGCCAATACTGTGCTATTTTTATTACAGTAAATCTGCAGCACAATTAGAGATTAGCAGTGGTGATAACTCTAGCAGTGCTTTTATTATTCAGGATTGTTTTTAGCTATCCTGTATTTATTGTGTTTCAGTGTGAAGTTACAGATGGTTCTTTTAGTTTCTCTGAAGAGTTGTGGTAGAATTTTGCTAGGGATTTCAATTCTGTTAATTGCTTTTGGTAGGATGGCTGTTTTCATAAAATTAATCTTACTGATACATGAGCATGGGAGGCCTTTCTATCTTCTTGTGTCTTCAGTTTCTTCCTTCAATATCTTAATGTTTTTATTATGCAAGCCTTTCACTTGCTTGGTTACAATTGTCCCAAAGTATTGTGTGTGTGTGTGTGTGTGTGTGTGTGTGTGTGTGTGTGTAGTGAAAGATCCTGTTTCCCTTATTTCTTGCTTAGTATATTTATCATTTGTATATAGGAAGGCTATTGACATTTGTGTGTTAGAAAGTCTTTACCTGCTGTCAAAGTTCCCTAGTGGAGTTTTCGGGTCGCTTATGCATACTATCTTATCATCTGCAGATAAACATTCTTTGACTTCTTCCTTTCCTATTTGTGTCCCCTGTTCTAGCTAAGATTGCAAGTAGTATATTAAATATGTATGGAGAGATTGGACAACTTTTTGTTCCTGACTATAGTGGAAGTGCTTTGAGTTTCTCCCCTTTTAGGTTGGTAATAGCCAAAGGCTTAATGTAAATTATCTTTATTATGTTGAGCTATGCCCCTTGTATCTCTACTCTCTCCAGGGGAGATGTTGGATTTTGTCGAAGGCTTTTTCTTCATCTAATGAGGTGGTCATACAGTTTTTATCTTGGTGGATTACATTTATCGATGTGTATGTTGAGCCATCCCTGCATCTTTGGGATGAAGCCAGCTTGATCATGGTGGACAACCTTTTCCATATGTTCTTGGATTCAGTTTGCAAGTATTTTATTGAAAACTTTTCCATCTGTAGTCATAAAGTATATTGGTCTATAGTTTTCTTTTGAGGGTAATGTTCCTTGTGTAGCTTGGGTATATGCATAACAGTGGCTTCATAAAAGGAATTAAGAAATGTTCCTTTAATTTCTATTTTGTGGAATAATTTTGCATTATTACTCATATCGCATATTGGCATTAATTCTTTGAAGATCTGATAGAATTTTTTGCTGAATCCAGCTGGCACTGGAATATTTTTGGTTGGAAAATTTCTTAATTACTGCTTCTGTTTCACGAGGGGTTATGTGTATTTCAGCTGCTTCTGTCATCTCGATGTAACTTTGGTAGGTCATATGGATCATGCATTCATCCGTTTCTTTTAGCGTTCCCAGTTTGATGTAATAGAGATGTTTGAGTATGTCCTCATGATTCTCTGAGTTTCCTGAATAGCATTGTTGTGATGGTGTCCTCTTCTTGTCTAATTTTGTTCATTTGGATCTTCTGTCTCTGTCTTCATTAATTTGGTTAGTGCTTTATCGGTCTTGTTGATTTTTGACCTACTCTTCATTTCATTGATTGTTTTTATTGGTATTTTTGTTACTGTTTGTATTTCATTGATTTCAGCCCTGAATTTTATTTCTTCCTGTCTACTCTTTTTTAGGTATTATTTCTTGTTTTCTAGAGCTAACAGATGATCATTAAGTTACTAATATGTGATTTCTAGTCTTTTGATGTAGGTATTTGTATTTAGTACTATGGACTTGTCCCTTAGAATTGTGCACATAGATTTGGGTATGATGTGTTTTCATTTACATTCATCATTGTTTTCTTTTTTTTTTCTTTTTTTTTCTTTTTTTGGTTTTTCGAGACAGGGTTTCTCTGTGTAGCCCTGGCTGTCCTGGAACTCACTCTTTAGACCAGGCTGTCCTTGAACTCAGAAATCTGCTTGCCTCTGCTTCCCAAATGCTGGGATTAAAGGCATGCGCCACCACTGCCTGGCCATCATTGTTTTCTTGATTTCTGTCTTGACTCAGTTTTTATTCACTAGAGAGTTGTTCATTTCCATGAGATTATATGCTTTCCACTGTTTCTCTTGCTGTTGATATACAACTTTAATCTATAGTTTAATCTATAATTTTATCTTTGGTCAGATTTGTAGGATATCGTTTCAGTTTTCTTCTATTTGCTGAGATTTTTTGTGTGTCCTAAAATGTCGTCAGTTTTTAGAGAACGTTCTATGAGCTGCTGAGAAGAAAGTAAATTCTTTCAGTTTAGGTAGGATATTCTGTAGACTTCTGCTAGGTCCATTTGATGTATGCCATTATCTAGCTACAGTGCTCTGCTTAGGTCTTATGTGGATGACCTATCTATGGGCGAGAGCTGGGTATTGACATCATCCACTATCGGGTAAGGGTCTATATGTGATTTTTAGCTATAATAGTATTTCTTTTATGAACTTGGGCACCCATATATGGTTGGTGTATTAAGTGTTTAGAATTGTAATATCCTCTTGAATTTCTCCTCTGACTAGTATGTACTATCCTTCCCTATTTCTTCTTAATAGTTTTGGTTGGAAGTATATTTTGTCAGATAATTAAAATGGCTACACCTGCTTCATTCTTTGGTCCATTCCCTTGGAAATGGAAGAACAGATGTTATCCTGAGGTGACATGTGTTTTTAATGGTGAGGTCTGTTTCTTGGATGCAGCAGAAAGATGATGGAAAGAAAAAGGATGGGAAATGGAGTGTTTCAGGAAATGTGTGGTCATCCCTTTCTTTTTCACTCACCCTGCCATTAAATGGACCATGAATTAATGTAAGAGGGTAGAGAAGGTGAATGTTGAGGTCAAAGCTACAAAAAAGGGGCTGGTTTAGCATCCTAGGATGCAGCAGGGGAGCCAAGAGAGTGAGGATCCGGGTCAGAGGAAGAGTGGTTGGGCACCTGGAGGTTCATTCAAGTGGAAGGAAGGAAGCCTGGGGTGATGCAATCTAGGATTCTCTAGCAGATTCTACAGAGCCATTTGTTGAGGTAGTTAGGAACGCCTTAATGAATTTTTTTTTAACCAAACTTAGAAACTCCCTTTTCGTTTCACTTCCTTTACTTTGATGTGCTGCCTTGGGGGGGACTCAGGCATTTGAGAGAAGCCTGATGAGCAGTGCTAAGGGCAGCACTGATGTGCAACAGCTGGCAAAATCCTGTCTTCTCAAGTCTTGTGACATAGGGCAGTGCAGCGAAGGCTTCTGCTGAGGGCTTCACACCTGCCCTGATGACATTTCTTTCTTTTGTCTTTAGATTTGATGAAGCTGCACTGTCTATTCAGAAAGAAAAAAATATTTATAAGGAAATTGAGAACTACCCAACTTGTTATAAGGTATTCTTTGAAAATGCCTAGTTTGGCTTTACTTTAGATAATTTTACACATTAGTATAAATATCTAAGCTAAGATTCTGTAGATAGTCATCTGCTTTTGTAACATAGAATTTATGGCTTTGTTTCTGACCATGACAGACCTAGCCTACCTTTCTTACATTAACATTACTCAACAAAACCAGAACTATTTACCTCAAACTCTGGGCAGGAAATTAACATGGGTGACCTGTAGGGGGCGCTGAGTGCCTTGAGAAGCCCTCAGCTCAGGAGACTGCTTTCCTGGGAGTTTCTGTTTCCTCTTGTCCATTGCCCTAAGAGACACCCCTAATCATGGCAGTAGGAAGGAGAGACTGTGACAAATATTCCAAAAGAGACCTCCTCCCTGAAACTGGAGGAACAGGAGAGAACCTCTTCTCCCTCTCCCTACCCCCTTTCCCCCACACACTTGGCTTAGGTTGAGTTCTGGTCATGGAGCTGCAGCCCTAGTCTCTGACTGGAAGAGTTTGCAAGGGGAACCAAGAGAGCATGCAAATCCCAGGGCAGGGTACGTGGGAAAAGGGAATCCCCTGAGTATGTGGCCCACACAAATCTTGGCTGTGTGTATCTGGGACAGACCTAAAGTATGAGTGAGAATTGAAGTAAGACTGAAACCACTAAGTCTCTGATCCTGTCTGTGAATTTCTGAGACAGACACAAAGATCGAAACAGAGGATTTGAACTGAGATCAGAAGCACCACCCACCAGAAACAAGCCATAGTCTTTGGCTTGAACCCAGGACAGTCAACTGCAGTCAAAACATCACACTTTTCCTGAAAATTACAGCAGTATATGCAATGTAACAATCACAGAAAACTAGGAACTAGTCCAGAATTACCCATCAGAAAAACCAGGAACAAAGGCAACTTATAACACCTTAGTGACCTCAGTGCTAGAATCATCATTTCAAATTAGAAGACCTCTCTTTTTTTTTTTTTTTTTTTTTTGGTTTTTCGAGACAAGGTTTCTCTGTATAGCCCTGGCTGTCCTGGAACTCACTCTGTAGACCAGGCTGGCCTCGAACTCAGAAATCCGCCTGCCTCTGCCTCCCAAGTGCTGGGATTAAAGGCGTGCGCCACCAACGCCCGGCAAGACCTCTCAACAGTTACTATAACTCTCGAATAGCATAAAAGTGAACACTGTTGAAATGAATGGAAAAGAACTGTTTTTTTTTTTAAAGATTTATTTATTTTATTTATGAGTACACTGTAGCTGTCTTCAGACACACCAGAAGAGGGCATCAAATCTCATTACAGATGGTTGTGACCCACCATGTGGTTGCTGGGATTTGAACTCAGGACCTCTGGAAGAGCAGTCAGTGCTCTTAACCACTGAGCCATCTCTCCAGCTCCCAAGGAAAAGAACTATTTTTAATGGAGAGAAATACTTTTATAGAAGCTGTACAAGTGAGCTGTTTGAGAAATTTGAGACATAATATCTGAAACAAATTACTAGGTGAAGTTAACATAGTGAAGACAACTGTTATTAATTGTCTTGTAGCTACAACAAAATGCCCCACAAGCAGCTTCAGGGCAATTGATTTTGGGTCACACTTTGAGACTCTGTGTATACTTGAGACAGCTGACCATGTTGCACCCATCAGGGCGCAGAACTGTGATTGTTTGTGCTTCTTTCTTTTTCTTTTCTTGTCAGTCCAGGACCCAAGTCCTTAGAATGCTGCCTCTCACAGTGGGCAGGCCTCCCCATCTCAAGTAACCTTATCAGGATAGTCCTTCAAATACGGGCAGTCTCTGCACACTGCTGAAAAGCTTGCCTCCTGTGTGACTCTGAATTCCCTCAAGTAGACAGTCAGTAGTTTCTTTCATAACTAAGACTTAGTTACTAACGATGGATTGGCAAAAAAATATACACGAGTGACTGAGTGCATTGATTGCATAGGTGAGCGTGGCAGCATGTGTCTGTCATCCTAGTCCTGCTAGATCAGGAGGACTGTGGGTGTGAGGCCAGCCTGGAGTTTAGGACCTGTCTTGAGAATCAAGTATCACTGAGAAAAGTAAAACACACAACAAAAGCATCATCAATACAATAAACTGCCTTCTGAAGAGCTGTTGCCAGTAGGCTGTTATTCGTGCTGTCCTTGGCCTAAGCAGTGCTGTTGTCTCTGCTGTCCCGAGTTTCCTCTGGTGTCCTTTTCTAGTATCTAAACATTCCAAGCTGGACTGGAGAATCACAGCTCTTCTCTGCTTTTATTCCCTCTAACATGAATTGTAGATATTTGAAAGAAATTACACTGGCTGCATTCTCAGACTTTGAGGTTTAAAAGGTTGTCTGTCCTCAGGCCGGTAACGCCAGTGTCAGCTGGTTCTGGTTAGAGCAGACAGGCTTAGGCCTGCTCTGCCTTCAGTCTCCCCAAATCCCCACGTTCTCTCTGCACTAATTGTATCTGACATAGTATTCTAGGGTGTTTCCCCCAGATGTCCTTTGGAAGTTACTATAGAACTATGTGTGTTTCTCATGTGTAAGCCAGTGATCTGAAGTTAAATGCCATTGTTTTCAGTACTCCAAGAAGGTGACTATGAAAATAGGTATCAGTTTACATTATAGCTTTCCCTCTTGTTTCAGAAAACAATTGCTCAGGTCTTAGTTCATCTACACAGAAATGACTATGTGGCTGCAGAGAGGTGTGTCAGAGAGAGCTACAGGTAAGGGTCAGTTGTTTTCACTGACCAGTGTTGACATTCCTGTCTCTTGATTTAGCATTACTACTTGGACAGATTTTGTTTTTAGCCATGAAACTTTTACAGATCTTCCAAGAGGTAAGACTACCATTGCAGGGTTCTGTGTTGTTTTGTTGTTGGATCTCATGTTTGTTTTCTTGGAATGCTAGGGAAAAGATCCCACATTGTGGTGTGTGCTGAGAAAACACTTAAACAGAGCTCCAACTGCAGCTCCTACTCAGGCTTCCCCTCAGTGTTACAAGCTGTCCTCTGCAGGGTCTCGGAATGATTAGGTACTTGGTCATCTTTGCTGTTTAACTGAACAACAAAAGGAGAATTGTTGTGTGATGTGTTGCAGATCAGAGTCAGGCATTTCTGTGGGTCATGAATGAGGACTGGGAATTTGTAACTGCCAGTGCCTTCCACACTATAGGGTTCCTAGTGACATCCTTGGTCTCCGCCCACTGGTTGTCAGTAGCAACACCTGTACCAATCATGATGCCTGCAGATCTTTGCTGGGGACAGCTAGCCCTGGTGAAGGAGTCTTAAAGAAGAGCTGACGTGGTTTGTGCTTGCCTTAGCATACCAGGGTTTAATGGCAGTGAGGACTGTGCGGCGTTGGAGCAGCTCCTGGAAGGATATGACCAGCAAGACCAAGACCAAGTCTCTGAGGTCTGCAACTCGCCCCTTTTCAAGTACATGGACAATGATGTAAGTGGGGTTAGCTTTCTTCCACTTGAAGTGATTTTCCCTATGGATTTGTAAGGTTTCTGCCTCTATACCTGTATTTTCCACGCCAAACCATGCTCACAAAGGAGCCAACCAATTCCATTGAACTTTCCCACATTCAGGTAATGTGGTCTTTCCCATGTGTTCCTGAGCAATGTGCATATGTAAATATAGCCTCATTCCTCACCTCCCTGCTTTGCTGCCCTCTGGGTTTGCCTTTATCTAGTTGCTGTCGGGCGTCCTACCTTTAAGAGGCCCATCAGGTGTAGCTTTAGTAATTCCGTAGCCTGGTAGGCATCCTATGTCTGTGAGAGTTGTGCGAGATGGATTGTTAATTAATTATCTTCAGGCTATCTGTAAAATGGAAGTGTTAATTTTGTGAAGCATCCTCTTTTTTCCTTTGAGAAAAGCCTCAGTCAAAGGAGCTGCACTGAGAACCTTGCTCCTCACTCCTTTTCCTTCTGTGTGTTTGTCTGATCACATGATTTTATAGTTCTGTCACACTGCCAAATTAATTTAAGACCTTGAATTTTCTTATTGAGATAGAGAAAAATATATATTGTTTATTCTAGGTAAATTCTTACACATTCTTTCTTTCTGAGACAAGGTCTTCCTGCTGTATAGGGCTACCTGGCCTTGAACTTAGAGTCTTCCTGCTTCAGCCCCATGAGTACTGAGAGTACAAATGTGCAGCATTCTTACAGGCTCTTTATCTGCCTTTGAAAACACTCTCTCTCTCTCTCTCTCTCTCTCTCTCTCTCTCTCTCTCTGTGTGTGTGTGTGTGTGTATATGTGGCCCCTAGTACACACAGTATCTTCCTCAGTGCTGTCTACCTTGCTTGGGATCAGGGTCTGAACTTTGGAGCTCACTGATGTGGCTGGCTGGCTGGCTGGCCTGCCTTGGGACCCTCCAGTCGCTGCCCCCACATGCTGCGAGTGCAGGCTTTTGTCACTGTGTTTGCATTTTAAGTGGTGCTGGGATTAAGGTCAGGTCTCCTTGGTTATATAGCAGAGACTTGACCAGCTTAGCCATTTCTACAGCTTCATGCCCAGCTTGTTAACTGGGGGTTCCTCATGCTTGGAAAGCACGGCCTTTACTCATTAAGTTCTCTTGGCTCCAAAGTTTGTATATATTTTTTAATTTAATTTGTCCCTAGTTTACATTCTCATGTCCTCAGTACATGTTTTTCTTCATAACCCCTAGAAGCATTACTAATTGAATATTCCATAGTTTCTCCAGTTCCCAAGTTAGGTACATAATTGATACATCCATAACTGTCAGCAGGTCACATCATGGTCTGATGCCAGGGCATTTCTCTCATTAGATTTTGGTCATTTAAAACTTTTATGTATAACTCTGCATGCTTGAAGTGTCACAGTACATGTGGAGGTAGGACAGCTTTGTGGAGCTGCTTTTCCCTCCATCCTTCCATGGGTTCTGGGATTGAATTAGGTTGGCAAGCTAGTGCAGCAAACACTTTCACCTACTGAGCCATCTTGCTGGCCTTATGTGCACTGCACATACTTCTCTTTCTCTGAAAGCTTTATTTTTATTTTGTGTGTTATGACTATTTGCCTGAATGCATGTGCACCACATAGAAGTCAGAGAAGAGTGGGATCTCCTGGGGCTGGAGTTGCAGGAGGTTGTGAGTCACTCTGTGGGTTTGGGTCCTGAACTCAGAGCCTCTGCAAGAGCAGCAAGTCCTTCTAACCACTGAGCCATCTTCCCAGCCCTCCCCGAACCCCCACTGTATTTAGAGCTAACTGATGCTAAGATGTTATTATGTATCGGGATTCTACTTCTCCAGGCTTCATACATGTTTTATTGTTGACAGTATGCTAAGCTGGGCCTAAGCTTGGTGGTCCCAGGAGGAGGAATCAAGAAGAAATCCCCAGCAACACCCCAGGGCAAGCCTGATGGTGCTGCCAGCACAGCTGCTGAAGAGGAGGAAGACGAGTACTCGGGAGGCCTGTGCTAGTACCCTGCCTACAGAGATGAGCGGATGGGAATCCTGACAAGCCATCTTCATAGGATTAGGACTCATTTTGGGGGCGTCTCTGCTTCACTGAAATGCTGATGTTGAATGTTAATATATATGAAGTTTTAGTTTACCATTTCCCCAAACCAGCCATTTTATCTACTTTTATCTTCTTTCCTTTCCATTGTAAGCAGAAAACACTGTCATATTTTAATAATTGATTTTAAATGTATAGGCCAAATTCCAGATAAATTATATCATAAGCGAAGTAGGAAATAGGTGTACTCAGTCTTTTCTTTTGGGTTCCTGTAATTTATTGTTAGATAGTTTTCTTTGCATTTTATTTAATGTCACTTCTAAACACGCTGGTGTTTTGTTAAAAATAATCATTTCAAACTGGTCTGGTTCTTTCCACCATCTTCCCGTGTTGTCACTTGGTGCCCATGCATGTCCTGGCTAAGAGTGTCAACAATGCCAAAAAGAGAGGCAGGCAGCGGGTCCTCAGCAGACACTCCTCCAGAGTCGTCATCTAGTCTGACTAGATGTCTGGGATGGCGCATGGTTACACTGTAGACTGCTGATGTGACCATTGATGATCACAGAGGGTGACATGGCTGTCACCCTCCCAGGCTGCGTACATGCGTGTGGAGTATGAGGCCCAGATTGAATGTGCTGCTCCGTGACCTAGAAACAGCAGCATCAGCTCTTCTGTCCTGTCTGTTCACTTGCATTGTTCCCCTAGCCTTGCTACCATCATGGACGCATCATAGACCATGAAGGAGCAGAACAAGAACACAGGAGGGGAAACCTGGGGACTCTTTCTAGGGATATAACACGTAAGTAAGCAACATACTTCAGTGGAAGGAGGTCTTGTCTCAAGTTGAAAAAAATTTATCAGTCATCGTATTAGATACATTCAAATTATTGAGTCTTTTCAGATTCAAGCTTGGGACAAAAGCTTTATAATATTTAGCTCAGTAGCCCTTACATGTGACTATAAAATACAGAAAGCAACATATTAAAGTGCTGTCGTAAATGTCCTCAGCTCTCCTTGAAGTAGTGCTATTCTTGTTTCTTAATAACAAAAAGTATGATTGTTCAAGCCTACTTGGCTCTTGACCAAAATGGGACTAGGTAAGACCATTTCTCCATCTACAATGACAGGTGATGTTCCTGCCAATCTAGTATGCACGCATTTCTTACCTCCAAAGTAATGTTGGTTTGGAGTTCATACTTTAACATGAGTTGTGCTAGATACTACAAAAATATTAGCCCAAGAGGGAGAACATAGTTTTGAAAGACATCCCTTTAGGACTGGATTACCAATCTTTCATACCTCATAGACATCCTGTGGTAATTTCCTAAAAGTTAGTTTTGGAGCATTTCTCCTTTTGCCCTGTATGACTAAGACCCATTCATGATTTGTGAACTGAAGAGGTTACACGCAGCAGCAGTATGTGCTAGGAAGTGGTGCTGACTGGAATAAGGCTCTCGCCACGCCCCACCATGAGTAAAGTATGCTTGGACTTGCTAGATTTCTGAAGCTTAGGAAAAGCATTGTTACGATGCTGGTCCCAGTGTCATGGGAGTGCTCCTACAGACTAGCATCTGCCTGGTGTGCTTGAGTGACCTGATATCCCTGCACAGACTGCAGGTCTAATACCAAACACTAATACAAGTGTATGCTTCCCCCTAAGTTACCTGCATAGTTCTTCGGGTCACCAGCTCATTCTCTTTAGAATTGTTTTGAGATTATGAATAAAGCTGTCTTCCAAATTTTTATTTAAGAAGGAATTTGGTGTTTCCAAGATCAATATTGTATTTACCTTTAGATCCGACCAGAAATATTGGTGCTTGTTTAAGTCAATTAGCAGACTTTTAAAATATATTTGGCAGTACTCAAAAGTTACCTTAGACTATTTTATGGCCCAGGTTATTCAATAAAACCTTGTAGATGGTCAATTTTACTTGTGTACACCATAAACACAAAAGCAATCATCAGTGCATTGGGGAGCAGCAGTGAGCTCGGGTTTTCAACAGCAGGTATTTAGACTGCACCTCCCGCCACCTCCACTAGGGGCCGGCGTGCAGGATTTAGAGCTCATTTTTGTCTGTCAGGGTTATTGTGTGTGGTGTCTCAGAAGGAGCATTTGTTCCTCATGTACACATTTTATTTTTCTACTTGCATTAAGTTGTTGTCCTCATGATCTTAGAAATGGAAAATGTAGTCTTTACAGCAAACAGAACTCTAGCACCCTCCCTGTGAAAGTGAAAGTCTGCATGAGTATGCTCAGAATCATCTAGCGTTTAGTGCTGTTCTATAGTGAGTGAAGTCGGCCAACAGAACACATTTAATATATTGAATTTGTAAATATGCAGAGTATAGTATTTGTGTATGGAATCTGTGCATTATCATATTTTTTCAGCTTTTTGGTGAATAAAATATTAATATGTCGTTAATGGAAATTAGATGATTGCTTCTGAAGGAAGATAATTATGAAAATAAAACCCAAGACTATGTGAATGTTGTCAGTTTTATTTGCTTGTTCATCCTCTTCAATGATCCATTCTCTCCGTTCTTTACATTAGTTACCTTTTGTAAGAACAGACAGTATTTTCTCTGTCTTCATTTGTGGTTTTTGCTCTGTAGGAGCCAAGTACCCTGAGGAGTTATTGTATGGTAGACAGTGTATTGTATGTTAGTTCAGGCTTTTAAAATCCCATTTATGTCCTAGCATACTGCTCTAAGGGCTGCTGCTTGGGGAAGTTGAAGACTAATGAACATTTCATCCAAAAAGAGTTGTTCACAGGGTCAGATGAGGTAAATGTAAAAGGTATTGTTTTGCAATTAGACGTAATTAGAATAAGCTACTAATCAGGTTTCACCTACAGTTAATTAGATATTTGCTATACACTATGGTCCCTGACTCCTTGTGGATATTGATGATATATTTTGATATTTAAATTCAGGTTAAGTTGTAGTAAAAAAAAATAATAATAATAATCCAGAGAGATTCTTGGACTGTGATGTTGTGTTTCTCAGGATTCAGTGAAGTGTCCAAGCTGCTTTTTGGTCACTAAAGCATTTGTAGTCCCATTAAGTAGCTACAAGATAATGGGTGGCCATTGTTCTTAAGTGGCTAGTACTAGTAAAAGGCTCCAACTGACGTTGATTTAATGATTGAAGGACATTCTAATGTCTCTAAGGAAAAAAAATGAGTGAAACTTTTTTTTTAAAATCAGGAAGCAATCCCTCCCTGACTCAGTGTGTGTGTATGAAACTGCCAATACACCTTTTTTATTGAAAGGACTTACTTGTATTCTTACATGTACAAATTTAATTTCCATGAAGCTTAAGATTTTTTTGTTTATCCTTTTTTTTGGTTATTTTATTTACATTTCAAATGTCCCCCTTCCTGATTTCTCCTCTGTAAATCCTGTGTCCCATCCCCCCTCTTAGGGTGCTTGACCTTGGAGAAGCTGGAGGCATTGGTCTCTCGGTTAACTCTTTGATGACCAGGTGCTGAGGAGGCTTTATCCGGAGGATCACATTGGCCAGTCATGGCTACAAGTGTGAATGAAGTGCTCTGGATGGACTCCTCTTTTTATGTTGGATTTGGCGTTACTCCTGATGTGCACGGCAGATAACCACTCGTGTCTGGTTATCACAGCACAACTTCATTTCCAGACTTTACAAGTATCAGACCTAGTTTCTACACCACTGGTGTCTGGTTATCGCTGGACTCTGATCTCATCACAGCTGGTTATCACAGCACAACTTTTATTTCCAGACTTGTCTTTGCAAGTACCAGACATGTCTTTACGAGTTTAAGCGAGAGGCTTGATACATTAAAGTTGAGTTCCTGCTTTGACAAGACTCCTGGCCAGGTGTGTTTCTTTTGGGCCTTCGACACTCACCATCCCCCTCAGCCCTGGAGGTACCAAGCGGGACCGAGACCTCTTTCCTCTCACCTGGACCTGCCAGCAAGGAGCCAACATTTGGGTTACCTCACTCAGGGCCTAAGTTGTAGTCTTAAAACTCAAGTTCCAAAATCAGTAAGCACATAAATAACCTGTGAAGTTAGCACATCCAACTACATGTGTAGTAAACTGAGTGAGATATTCAAAATCCAAATTTAAGTTATCACGCATAGATTGTCAAAATTATAAAGTCCATTCCTAAACCCAGAATGCAATATTAGCACTAAACTTGACCTGCTTCATCGACATGGAATGCATATCTTTGTACATTACATTTAACCAGCCACAGAGAATGGGCATGCCGTTTTGGGAGGCATTTCTCTGAAGGCTA